GTGGTGTGAAATATACACACAGAATAGACTTGATCCAATAATATTACCCGATCAGAGAATAATAATCAACAAATTTAGGTAAAAGAACCTCTGACCTATTTATTATCAAACAAGGGGTAACATAAACTTTTAGATCATAGATGCACCAGAGCGACACATTTTGATATAAGTTTTTTGTCTGCTATTGAACCAAGATAACAATATTGATATTGGATCTCCCTGCAAGAAAGTTTATAATTAGAAAAGGAGTATATTTCAGTCCATACTAAACCATTCTTACAAGCTGTCATTTATTCAATCTAAAAAACAACAAACCGATAATGATAAGCAGTGCCAAATACAATGACTTAATTCCACCGGCAGCCTTGGAAGCTTCCCCTGCAAGTCTGAGCAAATCAACCGTAGGAACAGAAAGCGGAACATATGCACAAACTGTAGGGTATAAAGTTACCTTAAAAAGTCCCATGAAAACCTGGACCAAATTCATCACCTGTGAAAACATTACTATAACAGACACACACACTATTATGTGGTGATGACCTGCAGTGTTACTTATTAAAGAAGGTGGTTTATCTAACTTCTAGTCTTACTGAAAGAGAAAACACGGAGAAAGCCACCAGCTTTTTCACTGATAGATCTATAAACGCAACTTTATTGAGTAATAAAGAATAGGGGAGATCTATAAAACATGACATTTTAAGAGCTTGCATGTAAGAAGCTGGTGTTAAAAGTGACTCACTGTCTTACACTAAAATAAACACAACATGAAACCACAAGACCAGCACATTAGCAGGAAGCAATATGAGACTGGAGAGCATGTTCTGAGCCGGTGCCAGTGATCAGTGGAGGCAGATAACTGGACAAAACATAAAGGAGGGATTGTTATAAAGAAAAATCTGCTGTGTGTTTTCATATGTCTTTGCGATCTAGAATAAGATTTGAAATGACTCCCATGAAGAGCAAGCAGAACTGAAAACATGTAGGCCCCTGCATGGATATGAAAATACAGCCTGGAGATTTTACTAATAACAAGAAGAAAAAAAAAACACAATGAAGCACCTATGTGTCTGAAAAAAGGAGGCTGTTTCGCAAAAACCAAAACAACTGGGGTATATTAGCAAAAGTCCAGCTTTCCAAGCCAGCCTGATGTTATTACCAAAGTCATGAGGATCGGCTGGTTATTGAATTGAAAAACCGTTCCCTGGTCTCACTTTTTCCTTCCAAATATTCCATCTCCATCCAGATGGCTTGGGGTTTCAATCATGTCAGTTCTTGGCAATACTTGTTTGTTTGGCTTTCAAACTTTAAGGCAGTCCCAGGAAAAAAAAACCTAAAAAAAACGTGGAAGGCTCCAGGCCCCTCTCTGGTTAGAGGGGTAGAGTTACAAAGCGGCTGGAATCAATGATTCTTAATAAAATATAAATCATTCAAGAAAAACTGTAGAAACCTATTGGAAGTATGACACGTTAATCAGATCTTTTCGAAACGACTCAGAAATTGTGAACGACTAACTTGGGGAAAGTATTAAAAGATAACAGGTAACCCTGTTCCATGGTGAACTTCAAAATAATTCATCCCTGTATTAATATTCTCAGATTAAATCAGATTACAACCACAGATTTCTATGGGTGGGTGCTTTAAATAAAAGTCGACCTACAGTAAGAGAGGAAGGCTTTTGTTTGAAAGCAACAAGAACCCTTGTTTACGGTTTGTCTCAAGCCATGCAGAAGAAACTGAGCAAACATATGGAAAAAAGTACCCTGGTCAGATGAGACCAAAACTTATCATTGTGTGAAAAAATAAAACTAAGGCAGCACCATCTCCACAGTGACTAATACAAACAGAGGCATTATTCAGCTACGTTTTAGGCATGCTAACACATTAATGCTAAGCAAATCTGAGAAACAAAACCCAAGCAGAGGTTAACCTTCAAGCCGAATCAGGCAACCTCTGCATGTGTGTTCCTCATAAATCATGTCCTTCAGGTTTAAGTGGGAGCAGTCAGACCTGAGGTCCAGTATGTCGTACTGTATTTAAATCTGCAGGTTCCTAGTGTGATCTGTTAACCTCTTACACCCTAAGGGGGTATAAATAAATTTCTGCCTGACAAAAACACACAAAAGTAAATAACTTATAGCCTCAAAGCTATTAGATTTAAGAAGAAACTTTTGGTACGTCTGTAAAGGTAAGATGTCATAGAATGGTTTTCTGGTGTCAGCACCATTGTAGCTTTGACCCTGCCTGAAATATTAGGGACAAAATACAAAATATTTTGCATTTTTTGAACCTCGCCAAAATTTTCTTTGAAATAAACATTGCAAAACACTACCAAAATATTATTTATAGCACAAAAAAGTAGTACAGACTTTCAAATCTAAATGTTGTGTAAAAATATACCAAATTTGGACTCAATCAGATGAATCACATTTATTTTAGAATGGTATTAGTGAGAAATTTCTTAGGCGGAGAGGCCATTTTGGCACATTTATCCATAAATGTCACCAAACTGTGCCAAATATGTTTTTTACATCAATACTGGGGGTTTGGTAAAATTACGAGGTAACGTAGCAGCTGGACCTGCCGGTGGGTCCGTAGGGTTCAAGGGGTTAAGACCAATCCGGTCTGCTTGGTAGAAGCCTGGCTTTTAGTTTAAAAATTTTAATTTCTGCAGGGAGACGTGACGCGTCACAAATTCAGAGAAACTGATCAGGAAGCTGGTAGAAAGACAGTCACTCAATCCAAGCTGTGATCTCTCCTCTCCAAATGCTGTCTGCATAAAACCAACGAGAATAAAACAAAACAAAAATATGAGGGCGCTCAGAAAGGGAGGAGGCGGAAATCTGGGAGATAAACTTGCCATGTAAATCCTGCTTAAGTCTCAATGATATGCAGGTTTATATCACCAGAGGTTTCAAGTAACGAAGTACAAATACAAATACTTCAGTACACTTTTTAGGTAGCTATACTTTACTCCATGACTTATTTTTCTTCCTACTTCTACTCTTTACATTTTCACTCAAGTATCTGTACTTTCTATTCCTTTCTAAACCAAACTTTACTCGTAACTCTTGGCTTCGGTTTAATGTTTATAAATATTTATTTCAAGTCATGTGCGCCATCCAATGCAGATCAATGGCGCCATCGACATCTAGTGAAAACTAGTGTAATTGGATGAGTTGTTAGACGCAAACACTCATTGGTTAGCTAAAGGAAATCATCAGAAGCAAACAGGTGTTCTTCAAACTGCAAACGTGAATTGTCTATGCCATGCTACAATGACGGACTCAGAGAAAGATGTTAAAATGTCTGAAAGGTCGGAAACCAACAAGACCGCCCTCATCCTATTTTTCGACATAGTTGAAAAATTTAGCTTTAAATTCATACAGTGGCGTCTAGCTGTTTTTTTTTTTTTTTTTAAGATTACTTTATATTTTAAGTGGTTTTTGGAGCACATACTTTTTCACTTTTACTTGAGTAAAGAGGTCAAGTTGATACTTCAAACTACAGTTTTTACAGTTTACGTAGATATACTTCTAGTTAAGTAACAGATGTGTGAGTAATAAATTAGTGACAAATTAATCAACAAATTAATCGATTAAAAACATAATCCTAACTGCAGCCCTACTTGGATTTGCATATAACAACTTACAATACACAAAGGCACGTATCAAGCCCCAGGGTTTCTATGATGTCTATTTTTAGTCACCATAAGAGTGTTTTAGTCATGCATATGCTCCCCTTGGTTCATGTTTTTGCAGATGACAATCAGCTCTTTACAATGTTAAGTTAATTTTTGTTTATGCTACAGAACACCTCTGGGCTAAGCGCCGTGGCTAGATCAGTATTAAATAAGCACTCTCCTATTTCCCCATGTACGAAGTCGTAGAGTGAAAAAATCTAATTCTAAATTTCCCTCAATACAATCTTAGTTGATTTTACTTACTAAGAAGAGTTGCTCTAACAAACAAACTAAAGTAAGTTTTTATTCAGATTTTTCATTGTCATCACACTGTGACAAGTACAGAGCAACGAAATTCACTCTCTGCATTTAACCCATCCCTATGGGGAGCAGTGGGCTGCCAGTAAATCTAACACAGAGAGGCCCAGGGATATACAACAATGCATACACAAGGAGAGTCTAGAGAAGCCATTTAACCTAACAGTCATGTTTTTGGACTGTGGGAGGAAGTTAGAGTAACCCACATGTGTATGGGGAGAACATGCAAACTCTATGCAGACTTTGGACTGGGGATTGAACCAAGAAACCTTCTTCCTGCGAGGCAGGAGTGCTACAAAGTGCCCCACCGTGCAGCCAACAACGAAACAATATTTTCTGTTTCTGACCTAAACATGGTCAGGCAAAGAAAAAAGCACCAAGTTTACTCCTAACATCCAAGTACATATTACTTGCATCTTAAATCGTTTTGTTAATACTATTTGCTAAGATGTATTAAATTGACTTGATTTTTTGATGGATATAGATTTAAAAATTATTTCTAAGTGTCACATTAAATAAAAGGTGTTGTTCGTAGATACAGGCACTTACATGGCAATTTGCAGTACATTTTACATAAAAACCAAGGTTTGTACAGGATCAAAAATGTAGCAAAGAGTGTCTCTACAAAGAACTGAGCAAAACTTTTGAAATTCTCAAAAACCTTGAAGAACAATATTTGGCTAACACATCAAATCGAAACAACATGATCTGAAGTTTTGGCTGTAAAGCCATAAAAAAAAAAAACAGAGGTGTGAATGTATAATTGAGTAATTGAGAATATTTGAGAATGTATAATTAAGTATAATATGTAAAATAAATTGAATTAAGACTCAAATATGTGTTAGTATGTCATGTTAGAGGTCAGTAGTGGAGCAGACTCTCCACTCCAGATCCCCAGATGAATTCATCCGGGCATCGAGCCACTGCTAACTGGGTTTATCCTAACAAGAGCGTAACTCTTACTAATTGTGGTTAAAAAGAAGAGCGTCGGTGTCTTACTCACTATGTTTGTTGTTGTTTTCAGGGCCAGGCGTGCTTCTAACAAAGTCCTGGGGGAATACATGCTTGGGTGTCTGGCCCCTTGGCAGGCCTGATGAGGACATCTTCCCAAGCCTGGGGCCACTGGAGCTCTCCATGCCTATAATGGTAGATGATGGGGTACAATCACACAGGAGATCTGGACAGCTGAAGACTTTCTGCTGCTCATTAAGCTGAAACATTTTAGAACTATATTACATCCATAGTCTATGAAGACGCCCTCTCCTTCTATACTACTTGTCTTTGTTGATGTTGGACTGAAGGTCATAGAAGCAGAGCAACATAGATCATCAGCGGTGGTAATGAGGCTACGACCTTCTACACTTCATTTCAAAATCAATACTCTCAGTCACACACTAACTTCATGCTCTACCCATTAGACCAGAGGTGAGTCAAAGAAAGGAGAGGGAATGGATCTGCTGCTCCGATGCTGACTAGCTTTTCAAAGACCAACCCAGGATATGTTTAATAGGTCACCCGGACAGTTTCTGGCTTAAATGATTTGTTATATTTACTCTTGAATCACATTCCATCATTAATATACCCTTCATTACAGTTCTATACTTAATGTATGAAATGTGATGTTCCTAAAATAATTATAATGGACAACAATTATGTTTAGCAATAGTAATTAGAGCCCAACATGCTTTCATTTACTCGACATCCTTAATATTTTTTTTAATTATGTTCTATAGACAAAAAGACCCAGTTGAAGCTAATTGGTCTCTATTTTAAAGCCATGCTATTTAATATATACATATTGTAGGTAGATCTATAAACATTCCAACCCCAATAAAAATCACTAGGCAGGACCTGATTTTTTAAAAGATCACAAGCATAAAGAACTAGTTCATTACAAGACGTTAATGCAGGGAAAGTGTCACGGCTGAGGGGCGTTAGATCACACATGAGAAGAACTATCTGATAGACGTGGATAACAAAAAGAGCAATTAAAAAACAGTGAAAAAAATCTAGGGGAGAAATGTTACAGAGTGCTTAATAAATAGGTTTTAATTCTAAAAATGAATATAAGCGAAGTGTCTACCAGTCAAAAGTAAGACACACTTTCTCATGTAGTGTTTTGTGTCTATTGTCATTAAAACCTCTGGGAACTACTTTAAGGACTGCTAAAAAATAAAAATATCTCAGGTAAGTACTGCCTCAAAAAGCTTAAGGAGAGAATGCCCAGCCTGAAGAGCAGCAATCAATAGGAAAGTGGGACTAATCTGAAGAATCTAAAAAGTCAAATATTTTCAGTTATTTCAAAATTTGGGGATCTCTACATTATTCTATAAGCAATGGACTCATAGTTTTTGAATCCTTCGCTATCTACATTGCAGACAGAAAAGCCATTAAATAAGAAGTTGTGTCGAAACCTTTGATTGGTGTTGTTAAGTCATGTGATTAAAGGAGTCACTTATAAAAATAAATCTAAATTGTTCACGTCAGGAAAGAATCTGAGAGTATTTTGGTTTGTAAGATTTCATTTTTCCTATGTTTAGTGTTAGCACAATCTGATAACACTGGGAAAGATAAAAATAACTCCAAAAAACTTTAGTTTCACAAACTACCTGGGTATTAAACCAGACTGTGTATTTTAGGTTTCTTTGACATAAAATATCAAATTATGGAAGATAATTCGGGGACAAATTGTCAATAGCAAAATAGCAGGTTGATAGATCTGTTGAACAAATGTACAGCACTCCACAAAATTTAGGATAGAATTTAGGATAAAAACGCGTAAAGCACCCTAAAACAAATGTACCTGTTATTTTAGCAGCATTTATTTTCACTTCACGAAAAAAAAATCCCATGTAAAAAAATAAAATATAAAAATAATATATATATATATATATATATATATATATACAGGTGCTGGTCATAAAATTAGAATATCATGAAAAAGTAGATTGATTTCAGTAATTCCATTTAAAAAGTGAAACTTGTATATTATATTCATACATTACATACAAACTCATATATTTCAGATGTTTATTTTGTTTAATTTTGATGATTACAAATGACAACAAATGAAAATCTCAAATTCATCATATCAGAAAATTAGAATATTACTGAAGACCAATAAAAACAAAGGATTTATAGAAATGTTGGCCAACTGAAAAGTATGAACATGAAAAGTATGAGCATGTACAGCACTCAGTATTTAGTTGGGCCTCCTTTGGCCTGTATTACTGCAGCAATGCGGCGTGGCATGGAGTCGATCAGTCTGTGGCACTGCTCAGGTGTTATGATAGCCCAGGTTGCTCTAATAGTGGCTTTTAGCTCTTCTGAATTGTTGGGTCTGGTGTATTGCATCTTCTTCTTCACAATACCCCATAGATTTTCTATGGGGTTAAGGTCAGGAGAGTTTGCTGGCCAATTAAGAACAGGGATACCATGGTCCTTCAACCAGGTACTGGTAGCTTTGGCACTGTGTGCAGGTGCCAAGTCCTGTTGGAAAATGAAATCTGCATCTCCAAAAAGTTGGTCAGCTGCAGGAAGCATGAAGTGCTCTAAAACTTCCTGGTATGTGGCTGCGTTGACCCTGGACCTCAGAAAACACAATGGACCAACACCAGCAGATGACATGGCACCCCAAACCATCACTGACTGTGGAAACTTTACACTGGACTTCAAGCAACGTGGATGAAGTGCCTCTCTTCTTTTCCTCCAGACTCTGGGACCTTGATTTCCAAAGGAAATGCAAAATTTACTTTCATCAGAGAACATGACTTTGGACCACTCACCAGCAGTCCAGTCCTGTTTCTCTTTAGCCCAGGCAAGACGCTTCTGACGCTGTCTCTGGTTCAAGAGTGGCTTGACACAAGGAATGCGACAGCAGAAACCCATGTCTTTCATACGTCTGTGTGTGGTGGTTCTTGAAGCACTCACTCCAGCTGCAGTCCACTCTTTGTGAATCTCCCCCACATTTTTGAAGGGGTTTTGTTTCACAATCCTCTCCAGGGTGCGGTTATCTCTCTTGCTTGTACACTTTTTTCGACCACATCTTTTCCTTCCCTTCGCCTCTCTATTAATGTGCTTGGACACTGAGCTCTGTGAACAGCCAGCCTCTTTAGCGATGACCTTTTGTGTCTTGCCCTCCTTGTGCAAGGTGTCGATGGTCGTCTTTTGGACAACTGTCAAGTCAGCAGTCTTCCCCATGATTGTGTAGCCTATAGAACTAGACTGAAAGACCATTTAAAGGCTTTTGCAGGTGGTTTGAGTTAATTAGCTGATTAGAGTGTGGTACCAGGGGCCATCAATTTTGAACCTTTTCACAATATTCTAATTTTCTGATATGATGAATTTGAGATTTTCATTTGTTGTCATTTGTAATCATCAAAATTAAACAAAATAAACATCTGAAATATATGAGTTTGTATGTAATGTATGAATATAATATACAAGTTTCACTTTTTAAATGGAATTTCTGAAATCAATCTACTTTTTCATGATATTCTAATTTTATGACCAGCACCTGTATATATATATATATATATTTTTTCTTTTTTTCTTTTTCTTTTTCAAAGGGACAACCTCTGATTATCCTGCGGTGTAGTGGTTTAAGCTTTTGTCTGTCATGCAGGGCACTCTAGTTCAAATGCCCGTTGTGGCAGGAAAGGCATCCAGTGTAAAAACTTTGCCAAGTCTGATCAGAAAGTCAGAATGACCCTTGAATAAGGGAGTAGTCAAAAGAACACATGGTGGATCTTAACTAAAAATAAATGTAAACAAAGCATTTAGTTTGTACATAATTGTTCAGAATATTGAGTCGTATTTTAAATGATCTAAAACTGCCTGTTTCTCTTGGGAATTAAAATGGTGACATAAAACCAACTCCTCAAAAGGAGAACGATGACCTAGAGTGTCATTAAAGTGAGGAAGATGAGCATTAATCATTTACTGTGGAGACTGGTGCTTTAATACCGTATCTACAGCAGGAACAACACTTCAAAAGCTGAAACTGACAAAGGAATCCTGGGCAAGGACCCCAATTTATGGCAAGGGCGGAGGAAGAGGATGGGTGGAGAGGTAGCAAAAAGTTGGAGGGGGTGTATTTAAGTGAAAAGTGGATAAATATAGTCAATAAGTTGTCACAAATATCAAGGATTTTAACATTTACGGTTTAAAACTGATACAGCTTTAATCCTGTTCCTGTAGGTTAAAGTCCTTTTAATAAGATTTATAAGACAATAAGAGAAATGTGTTTTATGAACACTTCATGACGACTCGTCAACTGCCTGAAAGAAGGCTACACTGACAAAAACAACTAATAAGATTCACTATATTGTTAACATAAATAATTTGCACGCAAATGATTTAAGTAAAATGTTATGCCGCAATATCAAGTAAAACTCTTGTGAAGATATTGTGCTTATTTGTGAAGATATTAAGTAACATTAATTTAATGTTACTTAATATTTTCTTGCAATAACTAACATTTACTTAATTACATCCAAGTTTAAAGTTAGATTTATTTAAACAAATTAAGTAAAGTTAAACTTATTTTTCATAGGTATAAACAGCATTTTACTCAAAATTTTAAGGCAACACAGAGACAAACAACCATTCATGCACACACTCACATCTAAAGAGAATTTAGAAAAGCCAATTAACCTAAGAGTCATGTTTTTGGTCTGTGGGAGGAAGCTGGAGTACCTGGAGAGAACCCATGCAATGAACAGGGACAACATGCAAACTCCATGCAGAAAGACCAGCGATGGGAATCGAACTGAGAACCTTCTTGCTGCAAGGCGGCAGTGCTACCCACTGCTTTACCGAGAAGCTGGAGCGTACTTTTCAAATTTGCAATGAAAAATTTACAACCCTCTGAAACTGAGAGTTTCAACATTCATTACAGAAATACACTCATATGTAGGATCAGGAATAATTAACTTACACAAACATGCTCAAAACATCTTCTTGAAGGTCAGTACAGAAACAGCCACTTAAACTTTGAGCAGTGGTGTAAAGATTATGTATTCCTCTATTTAAATGAAGAAAAGCATGTACAAATTTGCATTAATAGTAAAGGTGCATTATGTTGTACTGCATTAGAATTTTTACAGAAAAAAAAGATAAGGTTGGTATGACTTGCAAAGAACAAATAAACAGTACTTCGCA